GGCAGAGAGAGGAAGGTGAAGAGGAGGGAGCCAGCCCCAAAGGAACTCTCCCCTCCCCTGCAGGAGAGCAAGTGGGCTTCCAGAAGCTAGGTCCCCTCCCTGGGGAGTCCCTCCAGGGGCATCCACAGGTCAGCCTCAGCCCCCAGGTTGTGGAGAGGATTTAGTGGGAGTACCTCCTGGCACTCAGCTCGAAGCTCCCCTGTCTCTCCCTCCTGGCTTATCCTCTCCCTGACTCCTCGCCATCACCCCCACCTTGTCCAGGCTAGGGAGGGACTCAGGTGAAGCTGGGGGCTAGGCGGGGCCCTGGGACATTCTGTTCTTTTTTACACCATTGGCTGCCAGGTCAGGAATGTGTAATGTCCCCTGTTGTGGTCACGGGGTTGCAGGAATGTGGGCACTGAGAGGCAGGTAGGGGACAGGCAGGGGCACTTAGGCACAGACCCGGAGCCCAAGGACAGCAGGCACTGAGGGGGCAGGGAGGGATGTAGGCAGCACTGGGTGTCCAGGAAGAAGAGGGCAGGCATGGCCAAGTCTACACCAGCCCTGGGAGGAAGGGAAAGCTCATTGGTAGGGGCTTTTCCTCCAAAGTCTCTTCCCCAAGAGCATAAAGAGTGAAGTACCAAGCAGTGAGCAAGCAGAGTGGGAAGGATCAGAGAATCATACTCAAAAAGAGGGTCCAGACAGGCACAGGATACCCATCCACACAGCCTGGGCCCCTTGTGATAGTGAGAGGTCAGCCACTTGTGGACCCTCAGCAGGCAGCCCAGAGTGTGCTCACTGGCATCTCCCTCCTCACCTCCTCAGAGGAGCAGGCTATGGGCGTCCCTACGATGTGCCCAGCACAGGTACTGATAGAGACTGGTGGAAGAAGACAGGCCTGCAATATAGTAAGATAAGGATTCTAGTGGCAGAGATAAAAGCCCAGTGCTTAGTGATCCTGGGGAGGGAGGGAGAGACACTAACCCAGAGAGACTGGGGAAGACTTCCCGGAGAAGGTGGCATCTCAGCTAGGTGTTGTGAGGAACAACAAGGACTTTAGCAGGCAAAGAAGAGAAAGCAGGGAACTCCAGGCTCAGAGTACAGCCTGGTTGCTTTCTGTCTGGGCAGTTTCTTGTGGCCTCTTAAAGTGAGAGCCACTGTCAACCAGGATTCCAAACCCAGTCCCCCGCTTCCTTTGATGCCTGCTGGGCACACCCAGCTAGGAAGGGAAAGACTGGCTTTGTCTTCATTTTCCAGATGAATAAACTGACCCTCCACAGAGATAAGCCAGTTTTATGAGGACACAAAACAAAATAGCAGCTGAGTGAAAACAGAATCAGAATTCTTCTCTTGGTTGTCTACTTAGGGCTTTTGCCATTTGCTTCCAGAGACAGACCAGCCACAGACTCCAGGGAATTGGGGCTCCCCTGCGCCTGGTTTTAAAAGTCTGGAAGGTTCACACTCACAGAGAGTCCATGGATTCATGAGCAATCTGGTCCTGGGTTACCTCCCTAGCTCTGTAAAAAGCTCTCTACACTGTCCCCACCTTCCCATGGGACCCAGACACCCCCAGCAGCTCTATTTTCCCTTGATCCAGATCCTTAAACTAGGGACAGTCCTGCCTACAAATGGGGTAGCAGCGCCCTGCCCGTTTGATCTCAAAGCTTCTGAGAGACACACCTCCCTGCCTTTTCCATCCGCTACCTGGTGCCTGAAACCCCGTTGCTGGTTTAAGGCAGCACAAGCAAATAGTTTTCATTTCAAGGGCTCTGGGAGGGGAACTACGAAGGCCTACTCCGGGCCGAGCTGGGAGTGTGGTGTCCCTGCAGGCGCCTGCCAGGGTGCAGGGTGGCAGCGCTGCTCAGACGGGCAGCAGCCTGGGCCTGGAATTGGCCAGAGCCAGCTTGTTGTGAGAAAAACAGAAATCTGAAACCTGCACTTTTGTCATAGCTCCATTTTAAATATTATCTTTTGAAGTGCAGAAATAATACCCAAATACATGTTTGTGGCCGTACAATTTTCCAACAATACAGAAGTATACAGAACAATGAAAGCTTTTCTTTGTCCCATTCCTTTTCCACCCCTCAGCCCAAAAGGGGCAATTGTAGTTTGTGTATCCATCTATATCTTTTTGTGTGCCTGTATAGACCCACTTGTATTTTTAAAAAACAGAATATAGCCCTGGTTGGTGTGACTCAGTGGTTAGAGCATCAGCCCACACACCCAAGGGTAAAGGGTTTGATTCCCTGTCAAGGGCACGTCCCTTAGTTGCAGGCTCAGCCATGCCTGTGGGAGAGGCAACTGATGTTTCTCTTCTCTCTCTCTCTCTCCCCTCTCCTCCTTCCTTCCACTCTCTCTAAAAATCAATGGAAAAATATCCTCGGTTGAGGGTTAAAAACAGCAACAACATATATATATGTATATATATATACACACACACATATATATACACACATAGTTTTTTCATAATTGAGATGCTCTATGTTTATTCTATGAGTTCCATTTTTGCCTACAAACTCTGTTTGTGATTTGAAAATGAAATTTGACCTCTGAAAAGCAAAATGGCAGGAAGGGGTGGATAAGGCAGCCCAGATGGTTGCAAAGGCCCTTTCCAGCTGACTCTGCATCTAGCCCCTTGCTTAACACATGAGGGAACTGAAAAGCCCAGAGAAGCAAAGTCACTTGCCCACAGTCACCCAGGAGCTAGGGGTGGGGCCAGATTGAGAGTTAAGCCTCCCCTCTCCAAGCTCAGTGCTTCTTCTTGAACTTCCAGAGAAGCAGAGTCTTGTTCTGTGGGGGAACTGGGGTGTTGCAGACTTTGTCTTAGAAGCTCCCCCAGCCTCTCTCAGAGCTCCTGCCCTTCCTTCCCTGCAGGGCTGCCTTCCCCTCCCAACACCAGCCATTCTCTAACCTTGTGGTGTGGCCTTAAAATATGCACAGGCTACAGGGAGAGAAGTGAAACAAGAGGGTCTATA